AAAAAAAAAAACAATTCGCAAAAATATTCGAATTTGTACTATAAGGTGAAAAAGAAAAGCAATGTCATCACAGTCTGCCTTACGATATTGTTGACCAACTTCACTTACAATAAAGCTCAGAATGACTTCGAATGGAATCAAGATTTGAACGGAAATTCGTAYCGAAGCTTTGGTAGGAAAGTTTTGGAAGGACCAAGCAAACGTTCCCAAACAACCTTTTTAATTTCGGCCTAGTGCAAATGCACATCTCATCAGATAAATTATAGCTGGATAGCAATCAATACGGGAGCTGTTTAGAAGGACCAGATGTCAAAGAACGATCAGGCGACAGGCCAGCGTTTCAAATTTCAGGTCAAGTTTTTTGCCGATGCCACATGGAGTTGCTAAAAAACCTTTATAAAAAACATTTTATTGCTTGCATATTTTTAAGGACGTAAAACACTGATGTCAATAAATCTTTAATACCGTAACATAGAATTTTATTAGTTGTATTTAATATATTAATATATTATTCTGCTTTATCTTGCTTCGATATTTTGGTTGGCAACATCTTCACGCCAAGGTTAGAACAAATGTAGGCAAGATTCCAAAAATAATGATTTAATATAAAGACTGAGTGTTTAGTCTTCTGGAACCAAACCCTTAACTAAAGATAATCGAAAGAGATTTTCTGAAAATTCGCAATGATTGGACCTTATTTGGATTTCCCGAATAACGAAGAGAGAGTTCCGCAATCAGTGATCATAACGTATTTAGGACATAAAAGGTTCGTATTAAAGACACCTTAAGGCCATATTTAGTTTCAGTAAGAATCATTTCATCGTCAACCTAAAGTAACATGGTACCATAGAAGCTGAAGAACGATTGCTTAGAGTTTGTATAAATTCTAAGAGTGGACGTTATATTATCATGACTCAGTGATCAATTATAGGCACTCTTTTGAAGAATACGAACGCCAATATCATTGAATTGGAAGAGACAAACTTTCCTGTGAAGCTGGGCAAGCTAGCTATGCTACGGCATCAAGTATTCTTGGCGTTCTAAAACGAATTATTTCACCATAGGCGCAGAGAGAGCCAATTATACGAACGCATTTATAGCTGAGTTCAAGGGGATGTTGGGGCAATAATTTTGGCACGATTCGAAAGTGGGGATCTACCGTTAAGTACTTTTTACAAATACATAATAAAATTTACAAACGCTAATTAATATATTATTTAAGGCTCGATTACTTCCAAAAAGGGATCTTTGCGAGAGGAAAAAAGTCCCTAGTTGTGTTGCAATTTGGATCAGAGATGTATGCTGACTGCCTGACGTGCAGGAAATATTATATTTTGAAACTGTGCTGTTTATTTGTTTTAAGATCAGATCATTTCTTCGGTGCCAACCAAGAACACGCTATTTAAACGTACCGTTGCCAATAAAGTCAAAAGTAAAGGTTAAGTAAAAACTAGGGTTTTTTATATGAAGAAAATAGTTTATCACTATTTTGAGCAAGATTAAAGTTATAACTTGCAGAGAGATGACCTTGATGTAGAAGAAATTATGTTTTACTCCAGTATATTCTTTGAGCTGTTACATAAGACCTTCACAGGGCAGGCTCGATAGTGAGGTAAAACTTGAAYATCCAGAGCAAATACGGAATATCTTTACATATTTGTCCTTAATTTATGAATCCGAAGAAGTTGTTCAAACTACGCGGGGGTAAAAGGACCTCTAAACTTGATTTGCAGTTGCTCGGCACGATCAAAGTTAATTGACTATCGATGTGGAAACAAAAGGTACCTCAGTTAACTTACCTTCTCCTACGTGGAGAAAGATCCCCAGTAAAAGAACTGAACAGCAAAGGCGCATTTTTGCTTGATTCACCTCGCCTTCACAAAGACATGTTATCAGAAGGAGCTCGAGAGTGAACTGAATACCAGTGAAGTCATAGACGATCTTTATCCATGTCAAGTTAAATCATTAAGGTTTCAGACAGTATTGGGTTACTATAAAGAGGAGTGGCAAGAGACAGGACTCGCTGTTGAGCCACATTCATCGTAGTCAAGTCCCAGTGACATAAATACATACATACATTTACAATATAGTTTACCATATAATATTTTTCTTAAAATYTAATTGGCTAAGTTCGCGATGTATTTAGCTTCAATGTCAATCAAGGCTTTATTAGAAAATATCACTGTGAAGTACCAAGTATTGCAGTTTAGTGGGGTCACCGAAATGTGCAAGGTTATCAGTTTCATTTAATGTTTAACCACTGCATGCTTCCTCGTAAATTTGCGCGTGGGCCAATTGAAATTGACTAATAGTCCCCTTAACAGTTCCCTGCGCCATCTTGAATGGTAGCCGTGCCTTATATCTATTCACTTGTTTGATGAAGTTAAATTAATTGTGAATAGACCTATTTGTCTTGGTGCAATGCTTACCCCCTTTTTTAGAGAATAAGATGCTTTGTATAGGCTGTATTCATATTTCTATATATGTGTCTTCTCATGCACAACCGTTAGATAAAGAAWCGATACTCTTGGGAATGAGAATAGGAAAGCATTGCATCAAGACAAATTGATCTATTTCCGCAAATATTCATAATGCTCTTAAGTATCTTGGCTAAACAGTTTATCCCAGATCAAACTAACTATTCTATTACATTTAATATATATATAAACTGAAAATGAGAGTTCATTTGAGCTTCATTCATGATGGGGTCACAGGTGTCTCTCTTCTATATATCCTCTTTCATCTTCCAAGAAGAAGAAGAAGAAGAAGAAAAATATATCGTCAACAAACATTGTGATAAAAGGGTATATTTTCTCTGCTCTGTCTCTGATAACTGATATAACTGGCATTTGACAGGCTAATTGCATATTTTCCCCTCTGGGTCCCCTGCACTATTTTTGGAATTACAATGCATTATAAAGCACGACTTCTATCACTAATAACCGACTGTACTTCAAGATTGGTCAATCGACAAGATGGCGTAATTTTTGACCCTTGGCGAACGTACAATACTCTTAGCTTCCGTACCGTCAATCAAGTCTCAGGTTTAACTAAAATGGTGCAGATTGATTATCTCTCTGCAAAATTGTGTCACATAAGCCGTTTGTAATTGAAGTTAACTAGTGGCAAAGCAATCAACACTAAACAAGAAAGTAAGGACAAAAGATTGGATCAGTTGAAGGGAGAAAAAAGATGATATCAACTCAACATATATTCCAAACAAGAAACAGCTGCCTCGTGTGTTCGTGATATATTTATCAGACGATCTCTGCTCGATGGTCTACATAGTTGCGAGACTTAAAAGGCCACGGAAGATGCTGGACCGCATTACACCAAAGAGAAGAAAATAAATTAATAAAGCTATCTTGTAAAATTATTCTGTGGCTATATTTTGTACTTATTTGAGGTTCTATTTAATAATTTCAATTCACATTATAATAACACCAAAACTAGCTGTTATGCAACAACATAACTTATCTCGTAAAATTCTTACAGAAAAGACAACATACGCTATTAGTGCGCCGCAATACTCGGTCGTGTGTTCTATTCATACTTGCAGTTAAATGTTAGATAATTTGGTCATTGGCATGGTAAAGTTTGTTTGCCTTTGGAATTTGGCATGCACGACAGGTATGAGTGAAAACCCAAATCAACAAGTTGAGGCGTCTGAAACATAACCTTGAGATGAGCTGTATCAGTAATCATGCAAAGTGGATGGAATTTGGGATAATAACCTGAATATCCACCCTCCCTTGACTGATTTATTGCAGGGCTAGAAAGTACAAAGTAAGCAGGCCTTACGTGTACTTGCAAGGCAGTAACTGAAACTTGAAAAACTTGTGGGGAGGGGGTACAAAGTCCCTTATTAACACGTGATCCCGGCCAGTTGTTAAAGAACATGGTCCTCAATGAAGTTGGTTTCATTAATAATTATTTAACTCGAAAATAATTGCAGCCCATGTAGGATTCAAAGAAGTAAACGTCCCCTCAGTAGTCCAAGCTGGTAGGTCTAAATGTAGATCTATTAAACGGCACCCGTGCATGATCATCATGGAACAAATAGACCTCTTTTTGGGCGTAATGGTTTTTCCATTTCAGACCTAGTGTCATTCTCTTGAGAATAAGATTCTGTGTTTGMGTTGTAGCCATATTCACGTGTCTTCTGATGTACCACCGTTGAACGAAGAAATGATACTCTAGGGAATGACACGTGGTCTGAAATGGGAAAACATCATGTGAGACCACGTGTCATTCTCTTGAGAATAAGATTCTTCGTTGAGTGGTATCCAATGGCATGTGTTTTATCAAATCAAATTTTAACAAGGAAATAATGATACTCTAGAGAATGACACAATACGCCCAAGCTAAAGTTATCTATTACAGGGATTTAGTTTTCTTGAAACTGTTCCAGACCACACAGCTGTGGGAAACGGTTATCCCATGATTTTCAACTACCACACAAGAATCACGACATATAAACGTATCTTGCTGACCCAAATCTACTAATATACTGGGCTAAAGGAGAATAGATAATGTCTTTAAAAAATTCAAATCTAAAAAAAAGTTTTAAAAGCAAGCAAAGTATTCAAGAATATAAATATTCATAAAAATGACATAAGAGGCTTCTAGTCTGAAATCTGACACTGTTATGCGATTCCAGGCATTGATTATTTGAATATAGTGTTTTTTTAAATTATTATTTTGTTTTCACGGAATTTGAATTAATCATCGGTTTCCTGCTCAGACTGTAAAACTCGTGGGCGTAATAGCAGAGATACCAGACTGTCGTTATATGTCTGTTACCTACAGTAGGATCTGAAGAGGTATTTTGTTATTCATCATCTTTCTTCCAACAACACTCAAGCATTCCCTTTATACTACTCCAATMTCCTCTTGCGTCCACAGGAATCCCAAAACACTCGTCTTTACAGAGTCTGGAGGGAAAAGTGGGGTGAGATAAACTGGTATGTCTGTATCGTCTGTAGGCAGGGACGGATCCAGGGGTGGCGAATGTGGCTAGCCACCCCCCGCCCGGCCCCCCTCCCTTTTGTTCAAATGTCTCAATCATCCTTAGAAAGACACCCCCTTTAAAATTATATTTCAGGAAGTATTTTAAAAAGGTTAACCCGAAATACGACTCCATTTTTAAGCCATTATAGAACTTTCGGCGATGTAACGAAAATGCTTTTGATTGGTTAATAGCAACCGGAAGTGCGTGCGCGAGATCACCTGGTAGTCACTACTAAGGGTTGAAAATGTATTCAAAATAACTCAATCAAGCTGCTGGACGTCACAACCAATAAATAAAAATATTCTAAATTGATGCACTGATCAGTTTAACTTTACCCTTTCAGTATTGCGTGTGCAGTCATTAAACAATTCATTAACACCTGCGGGGGGATGAATTATCTCGCTTTAAGTTTCTATCATCTTGAGTGATACTCTCGTCCCTCCATTGCAGACGGCAAGAAAGGGAAGTCCACTCGGCTTGCACAAGAGCTTTAGCCAACACTAACTTCTTTCTATAATAACGACGTTATAATCATTTCATGAGTATTCAAGCGTAGTCGTTTAATATAAAGTAAAGTATGTGTACTAAMTGAAACATAGAAACCGTATTAAAGGGAATAACGTGTAAAAAGAGGTCAATTTCTTCGCTAAAGAAATTGTGAAGAACGTAACGTCTTTGTCAGCTGCAATCAGATCGTATTCACTGACGTCATTGTAGAATTTTCCTGGCCTTATATTAAAGATGATTGAATGAAAGGTCTTGTACCCGAACTAGAGATCAAAACAATGTTTCTCAACTAAACTTTGAGATGTAAGAAGCTTTTGATACTGAGATATAAACGATCAAATGTGCTCATTATTTAATATGAATTTATGTGTCAGGCCATCTTGGTGCACCTCGTGGTGCTCCAAGATGGCGGCCAAAACCGAGGATGAAAAGCACGTTCAATAATATTGTGAATACCTTATTTTCTCCTTAAAAATATCCATCAAAACAAAGTTACTGTAAGTTATTATGGTCTACGCTATTTTTGACCACTCTTCCCAGTATTTAATAGCTATCTTTCCCATGCTTCAGTGTTCATTAATTGTCCCGGGGGGGGGGGGGGGGTGTACCTCTCTTTATTTTCCCTATAGGGGATGGTTTTTCGGCTTTTGGGTCTGGGGTAGGGTATCATTTTTTGACATTTTGTCTGGGATAGGGTATCATTTTAGTCTGGGATAGGCGGTTAACGATTTGGTCGTTTTTGTCTGGCAAATAAGCTACGCTTTCTGCCGACACAAAAACAATAAATATGTTAGTAAATATTGATTGCAATCGATTGTAAAAACGTATTTTCCGTCTTTTAGTCTGGGATAGGGTGTACAATTCTTAGTTTTAGTCTGGGGTAGGGTATGTAAAATCAAAATTTTAGGTCTGGGATAGGGTCAGGGTTTTGAGGTCTTGGCGGCACACCCCTACCCAAGTTGGGGAGGTAGTATACCCCCCCCCCCCGGGTTAATTGTATAACGTCTTTCTTCGACTTTGCGTCGAGTACTTTAATGATACCCGGTATAGGTATTACACTTAAATGATTTCTTTTCGTTAAAAAGGCAGATATTTTGAGAAATGCAATGTAATTATTTACGAGTTTAAGATATCCCAGTGGGGCACAAACGTAATCAGCGCATTGACCTTAGAAATAGATTTTCATCACCAAGGCGCATATTTGATGATTACTTTATGAATTAAGTGCATCACCTAATCATACTCATTACGAACCCTCAATCAACGTAACATTCCTTTGGCACCATTGTGAAACTTTACTAGAGTACATACCATACATCCGTGAAAAAGTAAAATAACAAAATTGTATGAATTAATGCACAGTTTGTAAGTCAACGTAGGTCTACTGAACTTAATAATTTGTGCAATTTCTTATATGTTATTCTACTACTTCCAAAATGCTTTGCGTAACATTAAAAAAAAAATTTCTCATGGAAAGCATGTTTTGCTGGATACCAGTTTTGCTGGATACCAGGGGCGGATAAAGGATTTAGAAAAAAAAAAAAAAAAGGAGGGGTAGGGGAGGGTGGATAACTTTTAAAAATTTGATCTTTTGAGCCTTCTTTTCGCAGTGCAAAGGGAAAAAATGATTAAATTATAACATACCGTGTACTCGTTGGAAAAAAATTGCTCATACACTTGGAATATTTGCTCTTTTCGGTCTTTTTCCTCTCTTTCCAAAGCAAAAGGTTGTTCTTAAAAGTAAAGTTATATAGCACAAGTAAACTGGGTGACAAAACATCCTAAATGACCCGTAAATCTTCTGTTCTTCGCGAACTACTATACTAGCGTGTTTTCGAGGGTACGAAACATAAGAAACCATTAAAGGCAAATGTATAGCCAACAGATAGTATGAGCTTATAAAATCAGCGAAAATACGGTTCTAAATTTTAACAAATTCCTGTGAATTATGTACCAAAATGTTCAGGAAAGCCCGAAGTTTTCAAATCCACTTCTGTTTTTTTGACAGGTTCTGTTTTATTTCAAGGAGAGACGATTTTCTAGCTTGACCCCGGTTATGTCATGCATTTCTCTTGTAAACTACATCCAATAGCGTACATTCAACTCGAAAAGTACGGTGGTTTTTTCAATAGAACTCAATCTAAACCATATAATACAGTCCGTGAATAGTTGAATTAACTGAATCCACTTCTGTTTTTTGCCTAGATAGTCATTATTTTAAGAAAAGATCCAAAAACCGTGTTTTTGAGACATAATTTGTATGGGTTCACATGAGGGGGCGTGAGCTTGAAATCGTAGCTGACCAAATGTTAACAGATTTTTTCTGATGGCATACTTGTGAATGCAGCTAAATTTTGACTCTTGACATATTTTGTAGTTAGATGCAATCATATTCTTTCTTCTATTTTCCTAAAAATATTCACCTTTACTTTAAATAGGGGGTGCAAATCCACCCATTCCTACCCTCACCCCCACCCCCCCTGTATCCGCCCCTGGATGCATATACTTGACATAATTCCTTATCGACTGGTATTTTTCATTACTATAGATTAGACTGTGAGATGCAGTTATCTAAACTTTCATCTCATCACTAAAACCAATATATATTCTGATTGTTTTACTAACAAATCAAGGCTCTGACACAGAGCTCTGGCTCTGAAAGGTTCTAGTCAGCGAGATAGCTTTTTAAATCTACTAAAATACAATCTCGCTTATCAAGTTTTCGTTGCTATTTTATTCTCTTTCAACTTAACCAGAAAAGCAATTCATCCAAAATGTAAAAAAAAAAAAAACCCCTATACTTCAATACTTCACTTCCTTTGTTCTAGAAAGGTATAGAATTCGCGATGGACGTCATTTTCCTGCGTTTTTTAAAAATACTACAAAAGCTTATCGGTCAAGGTTAGAGTTTGAAGACAATGACGGGGTTTCTATTTTGCTATTAGCATAACGTCAAAGTAAAATGCCTTCGGGATCTTAGAAGTTCATCGTCACTAATACATTTCAGGGGAGGTTTACCATGATTAAGACATGTATTTTACTCCCGTCCACTAAACTCTTTCAACCATTCTTGTTATATAGACATTTTTTTCTAACAACAAGCTCCCAAGCCCAAAAAGAGGGCCACAAGCACCCAAATCATCCCCCCCCCCCCCCCCCCCCCCCCCTCCCCCCCCCAACCCCCCCCCCCCCCCCCTCCCCCTTCCCCTAACTATCAAAAATTTACTCTCAGCTTCGAGTGCATTCGTCGGATCAGTACAGTTCATATTTCTGAGTAAGCTTGTATTACGCCTCAGATGTTCTGGACCTGTGTCTACAAGGTCCCCTATCTAGGAAAATAGAGAAATATGAAATCAATTACCATAAAGACTACCATTTATAGAGTTCTTCTTTCAATAAATATGTACGAATTCAAAGAATGGGCGACGAGGCGATTTAGTGCAATTCGAAATTCGTGATTGGAATGAATGAATGATTTAATTTTCTTAACAATCGTTTTTTTTTTTTCAGTTCCGACTGACAGCCCATTAACTACTGCTATGGGTGGTGAATATAATTTGCGGGCGTTGACGCTTAAGTTCATTAATGATCATCTTCTAAACTCCTCGCTATTTGGCTTTTAAACTATTTTTGGCACCTTCAGCTTGTATTTCAACATACTATCATGCAATAAAAGGTTAGACAAAAGAATGTTAAGAGGTAAATCAAACCGCCCTTTGGCGAACTCGTGGATACTCGAGTGCTTTATTTCAGGAATCATTCGTATAAGCCTTTTTGGCTAACAAAAGGCGTTGCGTTATGCGTTACTACTTATCTTGACCTTCAAAGGTCAAGGCGCTTACAATCGATTTGTTGCCTGAAGTTTTCACATAAAACACTTTATTTGCAGTATGGACTAAGCGAATGTTTTATAGAAAATTCATTTAGAAATACTATTCCATTTGACTTTGTTCAAGTCTGTAAATTACTGATTATTTATTGGAGCGAATTCTCGTTAGTTGTCTCCGTCGAGCGACATCTATTGAGTATATTTGTACCTTCGCAGTGGACATACAAGAACATTGCTTCGGTCGTTTGTGATTTCCGAAGATCAGTCTATTTTTTAGTCAGAACGGCTTATTTGGATGACAAAACTAGCCGAACTTTCTTCAAGACTCCATGACTCTCGTTTTGAAATCTGATGAAAAGTTCTTTTTTTCGATGCATCCGGCTCTACCTACGAGTCTTCTGTTTCAGCAAAAAAAGGCTTGACTTATTATTGGAATTTTAGTTTAGGCGTTAATCGTATTATTTTACTTCAACTTGCATCTTTCCTTGATTCTTTTGATATAAATAATCCGAAGATAAAACTGAAGATAAAAAATGTCCGAGTGTGCCCATACACAGTGGTCCACAGTACTAGAAATATCCCACATGAAACATCACCAGTTCGTCATATGAATAGCGAAAGTAATCTTCAGGTGATTTCGGAAAGCGCGCAATGCATGATTTTCTGACTTGAAAAAGAATCAATCCCTAACATGACCGCGCGCCTAGAGTCTTGGACGAAACATCGCCGTGATGGACGCCATTTTGTTTTGAATTGGATTTAAATATGTGTTCTCTTGAAAGGTGGTGCGAAATATTGGTGAAAAGAAGTCATAGCTGCACAAGTCTATAGTAATGTTTTAAGTTATGTACAAGAAACATTATACAAGAAAAGCTTATTCTAAGTGAGTGTTTATCCGTTTTTTTTATTTGTTTTGAAAATGATTGAAAACTTGATAACATGCTCAAATTGCTATTTAGTAGTAACGTGTATGTAAGTATATTGATATTTTTAATAACAATGAACCTTTTTTTGGTTTAAAAATGTGTTGTATTTAGGTGCTATTCTCAGTACATGTGTTATGTTCTTGATTATTACCGATCCACTCATATCTTGTTTTTTCCCCCTGTTTCTCGAGGCGCGCAAAGATCTATTGGGATTGATTCTTTTTCAGCAAACGCGATTTGCAATCTGATTGGTTAATCGATTTCCGTCAGATCACCTGAATACTGAGTAAGAGGTTTGTGCTTGTTAGTGTCGTGAAGCGCTCGTAAGCAGATGACGTAAGACAATCGATAAACGTTTAATTATCGATCTGCTAACATCTTAATGAGTGAGCGAGTGACACATTAGCATATTCAGGCCCTCAGAATAACTCGTTTCTACGCTTCGCGTATCCACGAGTTAAAAAGGATGGACGTTTTGCATGGTCAGTATACGGGGCAGCTACAAAGTAAAATGTGAAGTAATTTTTAAAGTCGGAGGTCARCAGTGCACACTTTACCCCCTCTCTCCATCAGTGCACTGTTATAATAGTATCAGTCAAAGCTAAAGTTATACGGATAAGATAGAAGTCGAAAAATACGTGAGGATCCTGAGGATTGAGCCCTCCGCCTCTATCACTAACTGAGCTAAATTTAGCCTGGTTGTTTTGGCTCATTAGCGTCATGATTGATGCCGGCCGAAAACATAAAACTCAACTGTAAAGTCAAGAGTTGTTAAAAGATTTGTTGGGCCTAGATTCAGTGGGACAAGATGGATTTTGAACAACTTTTGAGTTTACTGTGTGTGTGTGTGCATTTAGTTCTATTGCATGGTCATGGAACACCAGGGGCTGCCCCCTCTCTTCCTTTTCCCTTTTCCCACACTAGTCTCATAGATTTTTCAATCTTAGTCCCCTCCCGAATTTTTAGGGTGCTCCGCGGCCCCTGAACACAAACGAAATGCAATCGACCTTAGATGCAAAAGGTGAATGCACAAAGTATTTCTACTGATATAAAACCATTGAAATCTAAATGCCATGGAATTCACAATTCACAGCAAAGTTATTTATTTATCAATTTTTTAGTACAGCAGAATTTGACATATATTTTCACATTGAAGTGACTCAAGCAAGTCCCATACATTCATTAGTAATAAAGTTATTTTATAAATAGCTCGTGATTTGATTTTTAGCCTGTATTGATTTGTTAGCTTTTAGCTGATATTAACTTCATAAATAAGAATTCTATCCATCAAGAGGCATTATTACATGTTACATTAATGACAAAAAGAAAAAAACGAAAACAAAAATATAAACACGAAAGTTATCCGTTTGAATAATTGGTATTTTGTTCTAGAATGCACATGATATTCTGATGTTGCTTCTTACCAAAATGATAGCAAAGTTACTGACTTTTCAAAACATGTTATATTTGCAATAAAAAGATAAGATATTTCTTTTAATTCGGTGCATGACAGCCTGTAAACTGTATCACAATGGACCTTCAGTTATTGCATGGCAGCCGTTTGAATTCTCATGAATCATATGAATTTATTTAATTGTTTATGCAAACGTAATCTCTTCCCGAAGCTTCTGTAGATATTGTTCATATCAACATGGCTGCCGCATGATAAAAGATATGTCTTTTCTTCTTTCGATAAACTGGATGCAGTGGCCTTAACTTTGGTACACTAACAAAAGTCATGATGAACAAAATAAGTTTTTCACCCAAGCTAGACCACGATGCACCATGTTTGCTATTTTAGAAAAGATCTAGAGCGAACTGAAATAATGCCACTTTCAAACTTAAGCCCATTTTTACAATAGATTGGAATATATTGGTTCTACACCCAGGTAAACTAGAATTTATATATACTTTTCTTATGAAGTACACAGAACATCCTTTTCCCTTATTACAGGCTTGACTTGATCTTCTTTAATGACGCGCGCGATTTCGTACTTCATGACCTGTAAAACGGAGAAAAATGTGGTAAAATGTGGTAAAAAACGTGATTGCCATTTAACGTGGTCTTTCGAGTCAACGAGGGATTCACAAAGGGAAACAATGTAAAGAGCCAATATTTTTGCACCTTACGATTTTTCACCTCTCTGACAATAGTCCCCTTCACGGTTCCCTACGCCATCTTGAAAGGTAACCGGGCCTTTGCATCGAAGCGAGACGAACGGTGAGCTTGCAATGATAGAGACCTTTTTTTAACACCTTGGACAATTATTCACATGTCTCTATCATTGCAAGCTCAACGTTCGTCTCGCTTCGATGCAAAGGCCCGGCTACCTTTCAAGATGGCGCAGGGAACCGTGAAGGGGTCTATTCTCGAACTAATAAACTTTGTAGTGAAAGCTAGAAAAACGCACCACTATGCAATGGAGCTCTAAACAAATTTTGTTGGAATTTTAAGTTCATTTAGAAACCGGCAACAGCTAGCTTGTGTTGCTACAACCATTACAGTCTAAACATTTAGCAAAATCAATATTCARTTGAATGCTAGTCCTTTGATTTTAATTTGATGTTACCTTCAGGGCAGAGTTCTTCCATGATACTTCTTGTTTTAACCCTAAGCTCTTTAAATGATGCAACAGAGAAAACATTCTTTGCTGGATCGGACACCAACTGCCGAAGTTCATTTTGGTCCACACTCCCACCAATACCCAAGGAGTAGACGCGGAATCCCTTCTGTTTGATTGGGAGGACTGCTTGATCTAGAGGAGTGTAGGTTCCCCTGTCCTTAGTTTGTATTCCGTCGGTTATCACTATACAAATCTTTGGAAGGAAAAACACAAGTCGAACAAAATTAGGCAATTTGAGGTATGTTCAAATTCTAAACACTCAAAGCTTGAGCCGAAAAGTTTGAGAGGAGATTCTTATTTCTTCTTGATCTTTCAGTTTGATCTAGATGAAGGTTTGTTTTTGTTCTAGATGAAGGTTTTTACAAAACAAACGATTCGAAGCCAGAATTTCATTGAACGGGCCATGCAAATAAGAGTGGCTAAGCTGGCTGTTGCGCTGGGGACTAAAGAGATTGTTAAGAGATGAGTCCAGAGTTTTCAGTTGTCTGGTTAGTTCTCCAGTCTAATTCATGTGGCCATATAGGCGCAAGGTGCTAGCTTATAACCTATAACTAATAAATAGGAGAGTAAACAACCTTTAATTTTAACCTATGAGTTATCTTTGTTAGAGCTCGGACGGTTAACTCACAGATAAAACTGGCCAAGTTAGAAATCAAGGGAAGAAAAACCGGACAACCCTAGATAATGCAGAAAATAATAAGCATACTACCTTCGTAAATAAATTAATGTATCAACGTAAAATACAGCTATTTAAATGAATATTGAAAAAGACGTTTTTTCTTGCATGTTGGATTTTGGATGTTGGATGTTGGATGTTGGATGTTGGATGTTGCATGATGCATGATGCATGTTGGATGTTGGA